TGGGTGTGGGTGTGGGTGGGTGGGGTGTGGTTGTTGTTAAATAGATGATCAACACTCATTCAGATTCACACTCACGCCTACATCCACACCCACATCCACAACTACACTCACACCCATATCCACACCCACACCCACACACCCATATCCACACCCACACCCACACACCCATCCCACACGCCCACACTTACACCCACACACCTACACCCACACCCACACCCTCCCACACCCACACACCCACATCCTTGTTGTTAAAAAGATGTTCGACACTCATTCAGATTCACACTCACACCTACATCCACAGCCACATCCACAACTACACTCACACCCACACCCATACCCACACGCACCCATCCACACCCACACCCTGTGCCCTGTGGGTTTCCCTGCGAGTCTGCTCGTGAATATATCATTAGCTTACAGTGACACACACACAGGTCTACACTCATACTCACATCCACATCCATCGTACACCAATCGACACCCACCTATACCCACACCTCACCCTCACTCACAACCCACACCCATACCCACACCCACACCGACACACCGATACACCCGCATCTGCATACCTATACCCACACCCACCCTAACTAAACCCACATTCACGTCCACATCCATACCCTGTGTGCCGAACATGAAAAATTCAATAAATCAAAATATGTCTACGGCTTGAAAAACGTGTTGAATATAATATTCTGTTTTTGTTGTTTTACCTCTTTTTTTTCTTTTCTTGCTCAATGAATTCATTTCAAATTATTGAAATTTGGAAAGAAAAGTAAATGTTGTGTCGTTCTACTTCCTTCGTTTGAATTCAAACAAAAAATAATACCTGACACTTCAACAGAGTAATTGCTGTAATGGCATGTAGAATTTCAGTTGGAAATTTCCAACAACTGCTTTTTTGGTCTATATAAAAAGCGGTGCAATACGAACCTTCTATTAATCAATCAATTCATCCACTGTGTTGACCAATTATTTATAAAGTATGTAAAGAATTATTTAATTTTAGAAAATTTTGTAGTTTTATACTTTATAAGTTGATATCTAAAATTCCAATTAGCGTTGTTTCGTGACATTATTTAAACCTCGCCTTTTGTAAAACTGAGATCTATTTATGAAAATAGTGAATGCTTTTAACACCTTCTCTCTGTTATACTTTTAGCTTTCTTGATACGAAATCATGCTAAATATACCAGATATCGAAATAATTTCAATAGACAAAAAATAAAAATAATATGAATGTATATTAGTGAAGTAGAAATCAGGTGCAAATAACTTGACGAACAAATAAACACTAAGAGAAAAAGTAAAATTATTAATAATAATATTTTGTAAAAAGAAAAAAATAAAGGAAAATCGATAAAAATGCTTGTTATGAACGGTTCTTTGAAACTGAAATGTGGAACTCACTTATCTCGTTCAGCTTCATTATAGTAGTACAAAACATGGCGTAAACTTTGTAAAATCGATTGTAGTTTGTCTCGACGATCAATAATAAGTGAACGATTCTTTTTTCAAATCTAGATTTTAAAAAATTGTTTTTTATCCATTATATGCGTCCTCTTTTAATTTCATCATTCCTACACACTAATTAGTTTTTAGTTTTGTAATGTTTTAAAATTAAACACATTATTATGAGCATTGATCAAATAGCACATGATCTTGTCATACATATTAATAATATAACTTCAATTATTATAGACTGTAATGCAGAGGAGGGTAACGTTATTGACAATGTTGTATGTGGTGGAGAAGGAGACTCCAAAAATAAAATCACTTTTAAAACTTATATTCACGAATGTTTTTATAATTATATGTGAACTTTATAAAATGAGAAATAATAAGTGTAAAGTAAAGCGTCCAAAACGCGGGAGAAAAAACATTCAAAAAAAGCACAGCTTTTGTTGACTGTTGATCATTAAGAGAAACAAAAATGATCCTGAAAAGACTTTTTTCTCTTCCTACATTAGTATAATAAAGCTGGAAAAGGTGTGTGAGTTCCACATTCTACCTCGAATGAATTGGCGCTATGAGTGCCATGTTAACATTTAATTAAGAAAAATGCTAACACCAAAGGATTAGTATTAAGCATTTAGCGTAATCCTTTGGCATTATTGAACGAATGCTCAGTCATACTCGGATGTTAGATTGTGGCAAAACTCGAGTTTCTGATTCAAAAGGCTCAGTTTCTCTAGTTGTTTCGATGGCGCAACCACTAGTTTTAATATTTCTTTAGTGCTTTCTTAACACGAATGCCTAGTTTCTCAAAACAGAAATAGCTATGCCACGTGAGTCTGCAAAAGGTAACAAAGAGCACTCAGATTCATACTAACACCATCCAATTTTATTGTGTGGATGTAGATATTCAAGGAGAAAGAATCCATACTGACATCTATAACCACACCGAACATAGTATAGATTATGTTTCCATTTAGTGTTCTAGTCGAGTTTCTCTGGAAGGATGTGAGTGTATTTACGCATACGCACCCGTCACACTCCCACTCACACCCTAGGGAAGTCCCTGCTGAAATTCTTGTCGGCCATGCTAGTAAATTAAGAGAAAAGCACGCAAGTTTTCGACAGAGCTCATAGAAGTTCATAACGATAACTCAAGGAATCCTGGAAAGTCACATGGAGAATCATGGAGTGCGAGTGCAATTAAGGATGGGAAGGATCTGGTTAGGGGTGGGGTATGTATGTTTTCTGTTACCTGTACTATTACCCACGCTTCATTTTGCTTAAGAGCGGACCATGGGTGTGAGTGTGGGCTTCGTGGTAGGCTAACTAAAAACAGCCATATCAACATCTACACCAACACACGCTGCAGGAAATGTGCGGTTTCTGATCGGAAGCCCGCGGAAAATGCTGAAAATTAGATGCAAAAAACACAGTGATAGTATACAGCCGCGGGTTCTGACGATGTCTGAGAGGTTCCTGTCAAAATTAAATAAATCCTGTCATCAGATCCGTTCATCAGATTCCTACCTCCGAGTTGCTAGAATTTCCGTATCCGTCTAGGGAATCCAGCAGGCGTTTTTCGACGTGGGTCGCAGTGGTTGTAGTATAGTTTAAGCAGAACTGAATGTGAGAGTACATTCTTCTATTTTATGTGAGAGTATTCTACACTCTTCCCTGTGATAAAGTAGATGAATAACGTTATGACTACATCTTTAAATTTAAATATTAATAATGTAGTTTTATAATTATTAGACCTGAAATCTAATAGTATAAGACTATGGCTGATGTTCGTGCAGGGTTAACAACATCGACTAAAATATTAAATGATTCTCGACCTTCATCCAGTCGGCATTCACGACCAAAGTCTTCACAAAGTATGGCCTCATCTGTTATACCTTCTACTGATCAAAATTTACAAATTTACATACAAGATATACAAACAAATCTTCCTGAAAACGACCTTGAGGAATCGATTCGATATCGTATCGAGAAAACTCTACGTATTAAAATAGACAATATAAAATGTTACCTGAAACTTGGCATTGTTGTAATTGGATTAGCGAATGAAGACGACAAAATGCATCTTCTTGAAAATGTTGTGTCAATGGTACTTGATCCAGAAAGTAACACAATTGTTAAATTTAGCGATAAAATTGAACTTGACTCTTATGTCGTTGTCGATCGAAATATATCCGCAGAACTATCTGCCGACGACGTAGCTCTTCGTTATATGCAATCATATAGAAGATCTAACCCTCGTCCATGTAAACTGATATCAGTCCAATTTCCAAATATATTTGAAATATCAATACCCACATTAGATGAACTTGCCAAAGTAGCTAATTCACCAGATTTCAAAATTGATGATGTTTTCGCGACTATTTATCCACGTTGTGATTATAGTTTTCTTGAAGATTTACCATCAAATATTAGTGAACAAAAACTTTCAACAGCTATTTTAACTCAAATTGGAGAAACTAAATTAGATCCTACGTTGTTCTATGTCCAATATGATAAGGAAACAAGTAATGCGATTGTCTTATTAACAAAATCTAACAAAAAATGGGCTGTGCAGAGTTTTATAACAATTAATGAAAGAAATATTTCGAAAAAAATAAAAATTGCCTATCGAGTTATTGTTTCTCCTATACCTCAAGACGTTGATTCTGATCTTATCCTGAAAAATAAATTATTTGCTGGCAAAGTGGTGAGACATAGTCATATTCGTGATTATCTTATTGTAGAACTCGATAATATGAAGGATTATGAAGAATGCATAGCAATAGGCGCACTTCGTATAGGAAAAAATAAACCTATGGTTATTACTCCGCATAATATCGCTAATGATCCAAATACAACTGAAATTGATGCTGACAACTGGTATGAAACTGAAATGCGCGCTATCAAACCTGATATAGTACCGATTATGGGTAATCATCAACATCCAATATTTCATTATATATGGAATGCAGATAATTGGCGTGAACAAATGGAAAATTTGCACGAAATAGATCGACACGCACGGAAATATGATCTTGATCGACATTTATTACGTGTTACTATTATGTTAAATACAATTGGTATACTTCGTAAGAAAAAATATAATGTAAATGGTGAAGAAGTAATATTAAAACTTCAACGTCTGCAAACAATTCTCTATGATCATAGATCAAAGTTATTCGGAGGTAAAACAATATCTGAGACAGACCTGAAAACACCATATTCATCGACAGATGTTATCGTATCTAATGACGATTGTCTTGTCCTTTATGAAAAATTAGTTAATGAAGGATTTAAACCTTTATTATTAAATATGGCTAATGCGTCTAGTCCTGGAGGTGGATATAGAAAAGGAGATGGAGCACAAGAAGAAAATATTTTTCGTCGTTCAGATTATTATCAAAGTCTTGATCTTGAAATAGCTGATAAAGGTCGATCAGAAAAATTTTATTGCAATCAAAAATATGAAGTAAGACAACCACGTGGCTTTTTCGAATTATATCCAATGGAAGAATTTGGGGCTATATACACATCTGGTATAACTGTATTTCGTGGAACAGAACTTGATGGTTATCCATATATGAATGAGCCTTTATACAATGTTTGCTCTATTGCAATGGCTGCTCATCGAGAACCACGATTAACAAAAACAAATATGTTAGAAAATAAATTTGCAACAAGTACAAGAAAAAAAATTGAAAATATATTTGCCATAGGTTATCATCAAAAACATGATTGTTTAGTATTATCAGCACTAGGGTGTGGTGCTTTTAGAAATCCACCTGAACATGTTGCTTATTTATTTAAATCAGTTATATATCAATATGCTGGATATTTTAAGAAGATTTATTTTGCTGTTATTGATGATCATAATACAGGAAATCGAATTAATCCAAAAGGGAACTTTGCTCCATTCAAAAAAATACTCGATGGTTTAACTGTAAGTCCACCAAAGACAATTTGTATCAATGGATCAATCGGACCATATAGAATTCTAAATAAGTTATTAGATGGAAAAATAACTTTAAGCGATGTATGCATTCAAGATTTGCCTCCCTGTCATTACGGTACTCAATGTCGCGATATAAAAGATATTCAACATGATAAAAAATTTTCTCATCCGCCTATTTGTTTATATCACAGTTCAAATTCAACATGTGAACAAATGAATGAGGATGTTCATAAGTTTACATATTTTCATCGAATAAAGTGTAAACATGGTGGTGAATGTACTAATACAGATCAGAGTCACTTGAATGAGTTCGATCATCCAGAATTTTGTAAACATAACTCTCATTGTACAGATGTTAATCCCGAACATTTACACGCTTATCGACATTTACCTGTTTGTCCAGATGGTATTACTTGTCTAGAATATCGAAAAAGGACATCTGAACATATAAATGCACTTCGACATTGCAAAACAATTTGTCCAGATGGCAATTGTTGTTCAAATTTTCAAAATAAAGAACATTTTAAAAATACGATTCATTCATTCCTTGAACCGTGTCCATTTACACCATATAATTGTTCAAAGTTGGTTCAATATATTCATGCTGCTGGAAAATCAGTTCCTCCCGATGTTGAAACTCATTGCCTTCAATATTCTCATGTTTGTCAATTTGGTCGTTTATGTAAAACAACAGATGATGAACATTATAGAACGTCAATTCATATTGCTCGAAAACTTTGCCCTGATCTTGATAAATGTTCAAGACTCGGTGATGAAAATCATCTTGAATCATATTCTCATCCAGGTATTCGTGATATTCGTCTATTGTGCCGTGATCCAGGTTTTGCGTGTCCAGTTCGATCCGAAGATAAACATTTAAGAACATATCGACATGGAAGAGATTTCAATCATTTAGGTGTTGCTCCATCTAGAAATCTAAATGCTTCAATTAATTTTTTTCAGAATCAAGGTAATATAATAAGGACAGTGAATAGTTATGTGGATAAATCAGGCTGGAAAAAATCAAAGATTTCTGCAGATATTCTGAACTGGATAAAAGCTTTACAGCCTGTTCATCGATGTGGACCGCAAATATTTGCGTCGATTCTTGTTCATGGTCATGTTATGAGCCGAGATTATATGAATGAATTAATAAAACCGAGATGTGTTGTTAATGCAGTTATGCAACATAATCAAATTCGTTCAATATTCCGTCAACACAATGATCCTTCGGTGAAAGAAAATACAAAACGTCTCATTCAATTATTAGTTAAGAGTGAATTTCTAAAAGCTGGTTCTGCTGAAGTTCCTACATTAGAACCTGATCATGACGATCAAGTTAATATTATGAAAATGCAATTAAAACCACCGCTTTCTCCAGATGATCTTGAGCTTATTAGTAATTGGACAGCTAAAATAGTTGCAGCATCAATTGAACTGAGTACTCATCTAACAGGAATAGGTTATGACGTTGATAAAAAATTAGGAACGCATAAACATGTTTTTAGTATATTAGGACTACACCACGGCTATTATTATGGTGATATTGTTATTACATTTAAACAAGAACTAATGTTTCATCCTGATTCAAATTTCACTTTTCAAGCTGGAACTAGTTTTCATAGTGGAAGAGTCTATGCATATCGTCCGTGGTGGGCAGATCCAACTGATGAAAAAGAACGTATTGAACATTTTCATAATTCAAAATTGCATTGTTCATATCCTCGATATGAATATGCAGCAGCTGCTGAGTTAATTGCTGCAACCGGTAAGACTAGACAAACAATGGATGTTGATCTCGACAGTGTTATTAAACAATGGAATCAAGTTGATTCTCATTTTGTATTTGAAGGACATTTACCGCCACTGATTCCATTAGATTATATAGAAAATGTTTATATACCAAAAAATCTTTTTGAATCATTACCCGATGAAGTTAAAATATTAGCTAAAGAAATCTTTAAGAAATCGTTAATTCTTGCCGAACATAATGTTGATCTTAGTTTAATTAAGGCAGGTGCTACAACACCATTGGATGATACTCGTAAACCTTATCTTAAATATATATTGGATAAACTTAATGATACGATAAACGAGAGAATAAAAACGCCACACACATCACGAGGTTTTGTTATAACAATTACACAAACAAGATTTGGCAATCATTTAATCTTACCAATAACAATAAAACAGTCATATAATTTATATTGTCTTAATAAAGGTCAACCACCAAATAATATTGAATTAACTTACATTTATTGGCAGGCAATGGGTGGTGATATGATGTTAACTTTAGCTAATGAAAAAATTGATCCAAATGGAAAAGATCAACCAAATCTTCAATATTTTGTTTGTTATGTTGCTAGAAAACCCTCAACAAATTCAGAAGATTATTATGAAGAGTATTCTTATATAAATACTGATAGTCCTTACCATCATTCACATAATGTTCATACAGGTAACTTGAAAGCTAAATCACGTTGTTTTTATCGTGGTTGTAATACAGATAATTTTTTTACATTTTGTTTGAAAATTAATTATAAAACTGGGGAAGTTTCATTGTCACATGTTGGTCCTAATGGAATTTATAATCATGAAAATATTTATTATCAATTCAAAAAGTCAGATTTAGATTTATTAAAACTAAATTATGTTCATGTTAGCGCTGGAAATCAAGATGTTCCTGTAAGAAATTTGATGATTAATCATGAACCATTCGATGAATTACATTCAACATTTGATAAAGAATTTAAACTCGACACACCAAATTTAATCAGAAAACGTCGAACTTCATTTAATTATAATGATAGTAATATTGATAGAGAAAGTAGATCTAGAAATGAGAACTGTTCTGATGCTACTCCAAAACCTAAGAAACGGTCAGCATCTACGATTGTCGCGAGAGCCACACCAGTTGACCCACCACTCACTGAAATACCAAAACCAGAACCAGATACACGAGGTTTTCTTTCACGATTAAAATACGCCGTCTTTGGCCCAAATAAAAACAAAAATTCTCCAGCATACAAACCATCACCACCACCTGCACCTATATTGCCAAACGACGATGAACAGGAATCTGATTCTTTATCAAGAACTGAATCTCCTCCTCCTCCTCCGTCAAAACCACCAAGATCCTATTCTCCTCCACTGAAATCACCAAAACCATATTCATCTGTATCAAAACCAGTTAAAGCAATACCACCACCGCTGGCATCATTAACATTACCTCCTTGTCGAGATTCTATTTATTGTCTTATTCAAAATAATGAAGAACATAAAAAAAAAAAATTCTCATCCGTGTCGTTTTAATGAATTATGTCGAAATCCATCAAGTGAACCTCATCTTGTTCACAAACAACACAATTCTCCTATGTGTTCAGATGATCAAGCTTGTTCAAAACGATCGGATCCTGTCCATCGTGCAGAATATCGTCATACTGGTTTACCTGATTATCTTATACCATGTCATTTTCAAGATGCTTGTTATGATAAAAAACCTGATCATCCTATCAGATTTTTCCATGGTGAAGAAATACCTTCGATAAAGAGTGAGTTAACCATTTATTACAAGCTTATCTTTTCATAAATAAATACTGATGTTTTTTTTTATTCAGAACACAGCACATTAGGAAGTGATAATGCAAGAAAACGTAAATTAACTCCATGCATGTACGGCAATGAGTGTCGATTTATGAAAAATCCTCAACATACGGCAACATATTCTCATCCTTCATCAGAATAAATTTTACAAAAATGCAACAAACATATTTTTTATTATTCATCTTTTGAATCAAATCTTTTAAATTATTTTACTAATCATTTTTATCTAACAAACAGAAGAGCATCATTAATAGATAACGCTTTTGCTAATTTAAAAATAAAATTTACATACCATTCGCACCGCCCGAAACCCAACGGTTAACCGTTCTTCTCCAGTTTCATGTTGCTTATATAACACAGTGCTGAAAATTCTTCAACCCTTACGAAATCTTGAGAACTATGTTCTAGGGTGTGGATATGGGTGTTATTTTTGTTCAAATATGACTGGTTTATGCATATACACGTTCCAATAGTGATGTAAAATCATTTCAGCTATTCACTGACTTGCATATCTGTTGAACACATAGACATTGTATATGCCCAGTTTTAAAATCTACGATCGTATACGACCGTATACAAAAAAAAATACAACGAATAACGATGGTCGCATACGATGGTTGTATACGACCATCGTAAACGACACTCGTGTAGGATCATATTTTGGTTGTGTATTTTTCTCGTATATAGTAAGATAGCTTGATACTGTTATATATGTATCATTTTTTGTTCCAAATTATTTATTTAGATTATATTTTCCATTTTACATAATCTTTATGCAATATACTGTCTCATTATTACCAATG